GACCAACACATGGCCATTGCTGTGGTGAGAGAGAGAGAGAAGCGCACCTGTACAGTATCTCTCACAGAACTACAATGAGATTCACTTTCTATGATCTCTCTCCCTCTCTCTACTCTGATAGATATGAGCCTGCAAATCTCTCCAGCGTTGCACCATCATTTATTTCCTCATAGAATCATAGCTGCGAGAAGGGTGTTAGCACAGCCTGGTCTCAGAGCATTTAATATTATTCTGTACATAAATCAGAGAAACTCAATTTATACTGAACAAAAATATAAACGCAACATGCAACAATTTCTAAGATTCTACTGAATTATAGTTCATATAAGAAAATCAGTGAATTGAAATAAATAAATTAGGCCCTAATCTATGGATTTCACATGACTGGGCAGGGGTGCAGCCATGGGTGGCCCACCCACTTGACAGCCAGGCCCACCCAATGGGGAACCAGGTCCAGCCAATCAGAACGACTTTTTCCCCATAAAAGGGCTTTATCACAGACAGAAATAATCCTCAGCACCCCCCACACACACCCCACCTGCCCTCACACAATCCCGCAGGTGAAGAAGCCAGATGTGGAGGTCCTGGACTGGCGTGGTTACACGTGGTCTGCGGTTGTAATCCGGTTGGACGTACTGCCAAATTCTCTAAAACGACATTGGAGGCAGCTTATGTTATAGAAATAAACATTAAATGATCTGGAAACAGCTCTGGTGGACATTCATGCAGTCAGCATGCCAATTGCACGCACCCTCAAAACTTGAAACATCTGTGGCATTGTATTGTGTGACAAAGCTGCACATTTTAAAGTGGTATTTTATTGTCGCCAGCAGAAGGTGCACCTGTGTAATGATCATGCTGTTTAATCAGCTTCTTGATATGCCACACCTGTCAGGTGGATGGATTATCTTGGCAAAGGAGAAATGCTCACTAACAGGGATTTAAACAAATTTGTGCATAGAATTTGAGAGAAATAAGCTTTTTGTGCGTGTGTAAGTTTTCTGGGATCTTTTATTTCAGCTCATGAAACATGGGACCAACACTTTACATGTTGGGTTTATATTTTTGTTCAGTGTAGTATGATATGTTAGGTTTTGTATGGTATGTATTAATTTGTGGATGTCCATCACCCATTTCATATGATATGTTACGAATTCTAGCTAGGGGGCTAACGTTAGCTAGCTGGCTAATGCTAGCTAGGTTAGGGGTTAGGGTTAGGGGTTAAGGTTAGGGTTAAGTTTAGGAGGTAGGTTAAAGGGTTAAGGTTAGGGTTTAGGGTTAGGGGAATGGTTAGCTAACATGCTAAGTAGTTGCAAAGTAACTAAAAAGCTAAAATGCTAAAGTTGTCGTGATGAGACTTTGGGTTGCTAGACGTTCGCGTTAAGTAACCATCTGTCTTATGTAACCATTTACCTTTACTACAGTTGAAGTCGGAAGTTTACATACACCTTAGCCAAATACATTTAAACTCAGTTTTTCACAATTCCTGACATTTAATCCTAGTAAAAAATTCCCTGTCTTAGGTCAGTTAGGATCACCACTTTATTTTAAGAATGTGAAATGTCAGAATAATAGTAGAGAGAATGATTTATTTAAGCTTTTATTTATTTCATCACATTCCCAGTGGGTCAGAAGTTTACATACACTCAATTAGTATTTAGTAGCATTGCCTTTAAATTGTTTAACTTGGGTCAAACATTTCGGGTAGCCTTCCACAAGCTTCCCACAATAAGTTGGGTGAATTGTGGCCCATTCCTCCTGACAGAGCTGGTGTAACTGAGTAGGCCTCCTTGCTTTTTCAGTTCTGCCCACAGATTTTCTATAGGATTGAGGTCAGGGCTTTGTGATGGCCACTAATACCTTGACTTTGTTGTCCTTAAGCCATTTGGCCACAACTTTGGAAGTATGCTTGGGGTCATTGTCCATTTGGAAGACCCATTTGCGACCAAGCTTTAACTTCCTGACTGATGTCTTGAGATGTGGCTTCAATATATCCACATAATTTTCCTTTCTCGTGATGCCATCTATTTTGTGAAGTGCACCAGTCCCTCCTGCAGCAAAGCACCCACACAGCATGATGCTGCTACCCCCCATGCTTCACGGTTGCTGCTACCCCCTTTTTCCTCCAAACATAACAATGGTCATAATGGCCAAACAGTTCTATTTTTGTTTCATCAGACCAGAGGACATTTCTCCAAAAAGTACGATCTTTGTCCCCATGTGCAGTTGCAAACCGTAGTCTGTTTTTTTTATGGCAGTTTTGGAGCAGTGGCTTCTTCCTTGCTGAGCGGCCTTTCACTTTTGTACCTGTTTCCTCCAGCATCTTCACAAGGTCCTTTGCTGTTGTTCTGGGATTGATTTACACTTTTCGCACCAAAGTACGTTCATCTCTAGGAGACAGAACGCATCTCCTTCCTGAGCGGTATGACGGCTGCTTTGTCCCATGGTGTTTATACTTGTGTACTATTGTTTGTACAGATGAACGTGGTACCTTCAGGAGTTTGGAAATTGCTCCCAAGGATGAACCAGACTTGTGGAGGTCTACACATTTTTTTCTGAGGTCTTGGCTGATTTCTTTTGATTTTCCCATGATGTCAAGCAAAGATGCACTGAGTTTGAAGGTAGGCCTTGACATGGCTTCTAAAGCCATGACATCATTTTCTGGAATTTTCCAAGCTGTTCAAAGGCACCGTCAACTTAGTGTATGTAAACTTCTGACCCACTGGAATTGTGATACAGTGAATTCTAAGTGAAATAATCTGTCTGTAAACAATTGTTGGAGAAATTACTTGTTACTTCCCAAAACTATAGTTTGTTAACAAGAAATTGTGGAGTGGTTGAAAAATTAGTTTTAATGACTCTAACCTAAGTGTATGTAAACTTCCGACTTCAACTGTATGTTATGTCCAAATAGGCCTATTGAGCGAAGAGCATTGTTTTAGAAAGTAAAACAAGAGAGAGATAGGCTTTTGTCACGAGCCCATCGGCCAACGCCGGTGAGTGACCTGCGCATCATTGGGTGAGTCAGTGAAACTGGAAAGCTTTTTTAGCACTATAATTGAATCTTCATATTGTACAATATGTGTGTCTCCACACACCTAGGCCTAGGCTATTGATGGATTCAAGACAAGCTCATTTTTATTGATCTCAGTTTGTCTGTGTCAAAGTACCCTGTCATTTCTATCATTTGTGAGCTATTAAAAAGATTCTGCTAAAGTCTCCAGTCATCTAAAATAATGTAGAATTGCATGAAATGCATTTATAAAAGGCCAACATTTTCCCGGACCCTAGGCTTACATGTTTTCCCCCCATGTGTGCAACTTCTGCAAGTGCCTCTACTCTACTGCTCTATGCCAGCACGCAAAAGCCATGATCATGCATGCAATGCTTTGCTATAAAGGTGATTTTTTTCTTCTTCATACATTTTGGTACATCAGAGCCCCCCAGGTCACCCTCCCAGCTCACTTTTTGTTCCGGCACCTACCAATTTACAAATTAAGAACTGCTTAAAGGTTAACACTTTAGGTACCGTGGGTCAGTCTGTGGCTCAAATATAGGTAACTGGTTTAGGGAATAGAAGGGCCCCAGCCTACAGGATAGAAGATAATATAAACGTGCATTTAATAAAACACAAAATGAGCAAGCATTGGTGATATTTTGTGATATTTAGTCCTAAAACACAAAATGAGCAAGCATTGGTGATATTTAGTCCAATAGACCCTTGCTTTACACAATCTTGTTTTTGTGACAAAATCTGTAATCTAATGGCTGTGTAGACTAACTGTAAATTGCTCTGGATAAGAGCGTCGGCTAAATGACTAAAAAGTAAATGTAAATGTAGACACTGCTTGCATTACTTGAGTCAACATCAACTGCCCATAGAGTATTGACCAGGCTCAATCTCACCTAGCCTACACAGAGTTTCTTCACTCATATTGTGTCAGTACACCAATTGTGTCATTACACATCACTGGACCTGGTTAGGGTCTATTGGATCTATTGTTACGAAACAGGGACTTTAACATTAACTTAACCATAGGTTTCTAAAAGTGTGTGTGTGTGTGTTTGTGTGCGCGTGTGCACGCACATGTGTGAAATGTACCACAGGAGGTTGGTGGCACCTTAATTGGGGAGGACGGGATCATAGTAATGGCTGGAATGGAATTAATGGAATGGTATCGAAATCCTCAAACACATGGTTAGAATTTGGCTCTACTCCAGCATTTTGGATTTCAGATCAAATGTTTTCTATGAGGCAACAGTATAGCATATCACCTTTTATGTGAGGGTATTTTCATACATTTGTTTTACCGTTTAGAAATGAATGCACTTTATGTATGTATCAATAGTCCCCACATTTGAAGGTATCATAAGTACTTGGACAAATGTACTTATTTGGTCCCATATTCCTAGCACGCAATGACTAAATCAAGCTTGTGACTCTACTAACTTGTTACATGCATTTGCAGTTTGTTTTGGTTGTGTTTCGGAATATATTGTGCCTAAAATAAATTATGGTAAATATGTATTGTGTAATTTTAGAGTCACTTTTATTGTAAATAAGAATATAACATGTTTCTAAACACTTATACATTCATGTGGATGCTACCATGTTTACGGATAATCATGAATGAATCGAGAATAATGATGAGTGAGAAAGTTACAGATGCACAAAGATCATGCCCCAAAAACATGCTAACCTCTTAACTCTCACCATTACGAACAAAAAGGGAGGTTAGCATTTTTTGGGGGTATGATATTTATGCCTCTAACTTTCTCACTCATCATTATCCACCATTCATTCATGATTATCCGTAGTCATGGTAGCATCCAAGAACTATTGCACGTAGTATTGATTTATCCATTTTAGAATAAGGCTGTAATATAACACAATGTGGAAAAAGTGAAGGGGTCTGAATACTTTCCGAATGCACTGTAGATGCAGAGAAACATTTGTTATTTAACAAGCAGGAGCAGGCGGATCTGTGTGACTGAGTGACATCAGTGCGCACCACACCCCTCTTTGGGCTTATAAAGGCAGACGGATCACGGTATCAAACCCTCTCCAAATCTAGAGGAAGCTTGTGTTTGAGAAGGAGTGTCTCAAGTACAACTGCAGTCACCAATGATCATGGCACCTGCTGGAGCTAAGCGGGTAAGTGGAGACTTAATATTAATATGACCATCATTATGGCTGTAAATGCATGCATGCCTATTGCGTAATGCAATTAGCCTTTTGCAGAACTATTGCATATGTGCTACTGTATGTATTGCTTTGGTGTTAAGTGTACGTTATTATAACGATCAAAATGCTTATTTTAGTTCCAACTTCATCTGAACCCCTTGGTCTTGTTTGGCGCAATATATTCAGTATGTTTTTTATCATTGTGCATGCTTCGTTGACTTTGGTTGAAATAGAATGGCCTGACTTCTACTACAACTCTATTCTATAACTTTTCCTTTGTTCAGCGTTTCCTAAACTCGGTCCTCGGGACCCCAAGGGGTGCATTGTTAACCAATTGGTGTCCCCGGGACCGAGTTTGGGAAACAATGCATTCGTTTACCGGTTGCGTATTTCATTCAGGGTACTTTTGCATTTATTGCGCGTGCATATTTCATACTTGTAGAATGGAGAGCTAATTACGGAATGTTTGTGCAGAACATTTTGGAGCGCCTGGATGCAGGAGAGATTGTCATCGGGGATGGAGGTTTCGTCTTCGCCCTGGAGAAGAGGGGCTATGTGAAGGCGGGTCCCTGGACTCCTGAAGCTGCCGTCGAGCATCCCGAGGCTGGTAAACGCTATCTAAGCTTTTGGCTCCCTGGACCCTGCGCATCAGTCATAGGCTAGCCTACATAACAGTTAGTGAAGCCTCTCGCCTCTCCAACTTGTCCACCAGACGCACATGTTTTAACCAGATGAAGTTGAGAGAGCGTTAAGTCGCGAAGTTGTAAATACTTAGCAAAAAGCCATATGAGTGACAATTACTATTCTCGTTTCCAGTGCGACAGCTGCACCGCGAATTCCTGCGGGCGGGGTCAAATGTCATGCAGACTTTCACCTTCTACGCCAGCGACGATAAACTGGAGAACAGGGGTAACGCTCAGCGCTTCACAGTGAGTATCCTCTGCAGCCGTTGGGAAAACTCACCAAGAGGAATGAATGAGAATGCCAGACCCATACCAATATTCTACTGTTACAGTTTGGCCATGCATTTCTACGCAAGATTGTTCAATGACTGAATGGGATAAGAGGTTATATAAATAATTGTTCAATTTACCTGTAAATCAGGTTTCCTATACATCTCTCGAATCCTGTTCTTCTGTTCAGCACTGATTTATTTCCCAACTTGGTGTTTAGCCTACTTGGCAGGTTTCACAATGATGATATAGAAGACATTGGGTGCTTTCCTTTGCCCAGGCGTTGCTGATGCCTGCCAGATCTCACAACGCCTGGTTAGGTATTTTATGTATCAGCTAATCACATCGTACGTTATAGCAATCTATCAGTCGATGACAGTCGATCACGTGACACGGAAACATTGATTGATGCATGCAACGTCTGAGCAACCATTGTAGGCTACCTCAAACTACATCAATAGGGTTGTACACTAATCAATGGCTGCTTTGATTTACACCAGGGCGCACAAATCAACGAGGCCGCCTGTGACCTGGCCAGGGAGGTGGCCAATGAGGGTGATGCGATGGTTGCGGGCGGGGTCTCCCAGACCCCTTCTTACTTGAGCTGCAAGAGCGAGGACGAGGTCAAGGGCATCTTCAAGAGGCAGCTCGATGTCTTCGTCAAGAAGAACGTGGATTTCATGATTGCAGAGGTAGGAATGGCATGTTGTACACTCATATAGTAGATCCTCTTCTTGCACACATGCCATACTGAAACTGAGAATCTGATTTTCATCATTTTGACCTGACCGATTCTATGTGCAATGGATCCTCACTTGGACAATGCTAGTTTCTGTCTTGTTTGGGTCGTCACTTTTGTACCCTGTGTGTTTCTGTGTGTTTGCGCAGTACTTTGAGCATGTGGAGGAGGCAGAGTGGGCCGTACAGGTGCTGAAGACCTCAGGCAAGCCAGTGTGTGCCTCTCTGTGTATCGGCCCTGACGGAGACCTCAACGGAGTCAGCCCTGGGGACTGTGCCGTCAGGCTGGTCAAAGCTGGTATGGGACTTAATTTAGCCATTATACACACATGCGCACACACACACAGTCTTGTACAGCTAACCTTGTGGGGACACACAATTCAGTCCCATTCAAAATCCTATTTTCCCTACCCTGTACTCTAACCTTAACCTTAACCCTAACCCAAAAACCTAACCTTAACCCTAGCTCCTAACCCTAAACCTAATTCTAACACTAACAACCCTAAACCCCCTAGAAATAGCATTTGACCTTGTGGGGACCAACAAAAAGCTCTCTAACTGTCAGCTCTCTCTCTCTCTGCCAATAGGAGCCAATATTGTGGGCATCAACTGCCACTTTGACCCCATGACCTGTGTGAAGACGGTGAAAATGATGAAGGAGGGTGTGGAGAGGGCGGGGCTGAAGGCCCACTACATGGTCCAGCCTTTGGCCTACCACACCCCTGACTGCAACTGCCAGGGATTCATCGACCTGCCAGAGTTCCCCTTCGGTACGTACACACATCGCCATAGCTCTCTCCTGCCCACTAGGTCGTCTTTTCTGTTTCTGTTTCTCTCTTTCCTCCTTTCTTCCTTCCTTTCTCTCCTCCCTCTTTCTCTTAACTTCTCTTTTGTCTCACAACTCCCTCTCTCTGACTACATTTCTCTCTCTCCCCCAGGTCTGGAGCCCAGGATTCTGACCAGGTGGGACATGCACAAGTACGCCAGGGAGGCCTTCAACGTTGGCATCCGTTTCATCGGCGGCTGCTGCGGCTTCGAGCCCTACCACATCAGGGCTGTGGCTGAGGAGCTGGCCACAGAGAGAGGCTACCTGCCCGCTGCCTCTGAGAAGCATGGCAACTGGGGTGCTGGCCTGGAGATGCACACCAAGCCATGGGTCCGTGCCAGGTAAGGAGACCTTATACACTACATGGGTACAAATTAGTTAGATACCAGGAACCACAAAGGTGAGTCCCTATATGACTCCAGTCCAAAATCACAAAAGTTCAATTATTTAACTTAAATTGTTACTGTAAGACACGAGGTTACACATAGCACTGTACCATTTTATTACTGCCACATTTGGAGTATACATTTGACCTCTTACATTTTCAATCCTCCACCTCTCCCTTCCCCTCCTCCATCCCTCTCTCCCCCAGGGCTCGCCGTGACTACTGGGAGAAGTTGAAGCCAGCATCCGGCCGTCCCAAGTGTCCCTCCATGTCCACCCCTGACAGCTGGGGTGTCACTAAGGGCCATGCTGACCTGATGCAGCACAAGGAGGCCACCAGCCAGGAAGAGCTCAAGCCCCTGTTTGAGAAGGCCAAGGCCAGCAACTGAGCACTCCTCCTTGGCTAGGAGAGGGAGGTGGAGCCCCCTGGAGGAAAACCAAAGGAGAGGTGTGTACTCCGAAGGAGTCGTGGTTTGTTGTGATAAAGGCAGAGGGGAGAACTCACACACATTCCCTTTTTAAAGAAGTTTACATAACACAAATTATTAGATGGAAGTCTTATTGTTCTGTTTTGATTTCTAGGACCATTTTTTGTGAACCAAAAGTTTTCTTCTTATGATTTCATTCAGATTTGCAGCATCTCTAGATGGTACAGCTCCATCGTATTCTCTTCTGTAATAATTCTGAAGTGATATGGTATAGATGCATCTCATTTCTAAATAACTGGATTTCAAACTTGATATGTGCCTTACTTAGACAGAATGTTACAGCAATCATCAAGCCATTGATACGTACTGTGAGTTAAACAAACAAACCAAAAAGTTGCCCCCAGTGGTGCGTCCACACATACCTCCAGAGTGTTCTGCTGATCTCGTGACTATCGAAACACATAAGCTTATAAATAAAAGTGAGAGCGTGTTACCGAAACTACTGTGACCACAATGTTAAATAGCTGGTAAAGAATTTAGCATAGCCTAGTTCTGAATACATCTAGTGCCAAATAATAAATTACCAAATTAAAGTTGACTTCATATCTGTAGTTTCATTCAATAAACTTCCACTTGACCTTGTATGTGATGACGTTTCTTCATTGTGTGGGGTATCCTATCAACATGTTGGTGTTTTGAACCCTCAAGCTACCAAAACACTTTTACATACACAGAATACCAAGATAAAACTATTGAAAATAGACAATCACAGCAAACTCTGAATTGATTTCCAAAACATCTTTATTGTAAATAATGTTTTTGAAATAACAAAAAACCAAATAGCTTCAAAGTCCAATCCAAATGAGTTCTAAAAAGCTATTTCACGTCATTCTACCCTTACAGAAAAGTCCTGCAAAAATATTCAATAATCCTGCAGGTTCTGCTGGAGTCTTGCAAGAATTACTATGGCTGTGTTTACACAGGCAGACCAATTCTGATCTTTTGTCCACTAATTGGTATTTTGACCAATCACATCAGTCAGATCTTTTCACATCAGATCTTTTCAGAGCTGATTTGATTAGTCAAAAGACCAATTAGTGAAAAAAATATCAGAATTGGGCTGCCTGTGTAAACGCAGCCCATAATCCTGCAGGAATATCAAACATTCTGCAAGTTCTGCTCCTACAGAAATGTACCTGGATGTGCAAGATCCTTTTTCCTGCATGATAAGTCAAATTCCTGAAGAAGTACTGCAGTTGCATCAAGAAAAACTTCTGACAGTGACATCTATAAACGTTTTCCTGCACGATTGGTACAAGATTCTTACAGGTCACCTACACAATTAATTCACAAAGGCAAACATTCCTCTTTAAGTTTTCAGAATGTTGATATATTTATGTTACATGCAATTTTACATGGTAGGCGTTCTCTGCCCAACTGTGTCATTAAAGGCTGCGTTTACACCAGGGGAGAACGACTGCCCCCTTTCATTGAAGCCACGGTAGTTCAAGGCCGACCGCAGTAATGCAGGCATTGTTAGCAGAAAACAGGATCCCCCATTATAGTGAATGGAAAAGTGGCAATCTTCGTGGTCAATCTTTGTCTAAATAAAAACCAAAAAATGGAAGACAGTCATGGTACCAATAATTACTTCTAATACACCAGATGTATGTCCTTGAACCGATTATTTTAAAATCGCACACAGAATAAGTTATAAGGATAATTTAGTTGCTAATGGCATCCTGCAGTACCCCGGTCGGCCAATCAACTTAAGTTTGTCAATGAGAGGGGGCAGCACTGATCTAGCCTGCAACGTCACTTCCTGGAGTAGCTAAAACTGCGTATGTTATGTCTAGAGAAGAAGAGGCAAAGCGAGGGGTTTTACTCCGCCCAAAATCTGTCCACCAAAATAAGCCCACCAAGCAAGGAGGTTTTGTATGGAGGTCAATGAGTGTCTAATTTGGTTAACAACAAATGTAATGGTTTATTTGCTACGTGTGGCTTATTTGATCGAAGGTTTCGTAATGCTTAGGTTGTTATGAGTGTATTGATATAAGTGGGACACGTGACATCCCGGCAACTTTGAGAAAAAACACTTTATATTGGGAGTTGTGCCTGTGGTTCACACAGGTATATGCCCTTTCATTGGCTAGAATGGTTCCTACCTGATCTTGCTTCCTCCCGACTGCCAATACATTTATTTTCATCGTTAGAGCGGCCACCTGAGTATCTGGTTAATATAGTGGATAATCTGTAGCGCTATTGAGTCTTCACATAGGAATGAATGGTGTCACGTTATCGATGGCTTTGTCCATTCAAGTACAGCACGTGTCAAACTCATTCCATGGAGGGCCGAGTGTCTGCGGGTTTTCGCTCCTCCCTTGTACTTAATTGATTAATTAAGGTCACTAATCAGTAAAGAATTTCCCTCACCTAATCATCTAGGTCTTAATTGAAAGGAAAAAAACAAAAACCCGCAGACACTCGGCCCTTTGTGGAATGAGTTTGACACCCCTTGGTTTACACAGGCAACTCAATTCTGATGTTTTTTTTTCAGTAATTTGTCTTTTGACCAATCAGATCAGCTCTGAAAAAGATCTGATGTGAAGAGATCTGATGTGATTGGTCAAAAGGCCAGTTAGTGGGGAAAAAGAGATCACAATTGGGTTGCCTGTATAAACACAGCAATAGTGTGACTGCTTGGTTTAGACTTAAGCAGTTTGGCTGCATACATTTTACAAGCAAAGTATGCCATCAAGTGGACAAAATGTAAATCACCCTGTAGGATACTACTGTGTAATAAACTATAATCTGTAGGTGTCAGTGTTGTACCATCTGATATGGCCCACTTTCATCGCCCACTTTCATCCCCAGTAGGCTACTCTTGTGTCATCATAACTAACACTGACTGTATCAAACAAAGGCAAAAACAGCAAGTTCAAAATAATTCATTCATGACTTACAAAATGTATTGTCGTATTTTTTTGTATTTATTAGGATCCCTATGCTACCTGGGGTCCAAACAGGAATAAAACAATTACATCACAACAAAACAAGAGCTTACATCATAAATAAAACAATACATCATACAATACATTATTACTCTATTATAACACATTTACAATATAAGATGTACAATACTACAACAGTACAATATTACAATGTGTGTGTGTGTAGAAGTGTTTGTTTTAGAGTGTGTGTGCGTATGAGTGTGTCTCTTCTACAGGAGGTTGGTGGCACCTTAATTGGGGAGAATGGGCTCGTGGTAATGGCTGGAGCGGAATTAGTGAAATGGTATCAAATACATCAAACACATGGTTCATGCCATTCCATTTGCTCCGTTCCGGCCATTATTATGAGCCGTTCTCCCCTCAACAGCCTCCTGTGGTCTCTTCACAGTTCGTGTTGTGCCGTGAGGTGTTGTTTTATCTGTTTTTTCAACCTGATTTTACTGCTCGCTTGAGTTACTTGATGTGGAAGAGAGTTCCATGTAGTCATGGCTCTATATAGTACTGTGCAATTCCCAGAGTCTGTTCTGGACTTGGGGAATGTGAAGAGACCCCTGGTGGCATGTCTCGTGGGGTATGTATGGGTGTCTGACCTGTGTGTTTGATGTTTGAACAGACAGTTCGGTACTTTCAACACGTAATACCTCTCCCAAAGACAAGTAGTGATGCAGTCAAACTCTCCTCTATTTTGAGCCAGGAGAGATTGATGTGCATGTTATTATTAGCCCTCCGTGTACATTTAATGGCCAGCCGTTCTGTTCTGGGCCAACATTCCTTTTTTTGAGGCACTTGACCATATACAGTCGTGGACAGAAATATTGGCACCCTTATACTTTTTTCTAACAATGCACCATTTCTTCCAGAAAACTGTTGAAATTAAAACATATTTTGGTATCGACATATGTATGTCTTTGCTTTGCAGTTGAACAAAACAAAAACATCTGAATAATTTACTAAATGTTAGCTTATTCCACAAATAAATCCTAAAATGGCCCAGACAATATTATTGGCACCTTCTAGAAGTAGTTAGAAATAATTAGATTTCAAGCAGGTGATTCTCCTTTACTTTGGAATTGAACTCACCTGTGGTGAGTTGCAGATGCCTGCAATATAAAAACCACTCATTCAACCAGTTTGAATAGAGAAAAGGACTCATTCTCCTGTTTTGTGTCACTGTGTGTACCGCAATGGCATGGAGAAAAGAAAGAAAAACAGATAATTATCTGAAGAGGTCAGACACAAGATTGTAGACAAGCATGGACAATATCAAGGCTACAAGTACATCTCCAGAGACCTTGTTCCTGTACGTAATGCTATCAAGAAGTTTAAGGCCCATGCCACTGTAGCCAACCTCCCTGGACATGGCCGCAAGAGAAGTTGATGGAAGATTGCAGCGAAGGACTGTTCGAATGGTGGAGAAAGCACCTTGATCAACTGCCACACAGATTCAAGCTGCCCTTCAGACACAAGGTACGACAGTTTCAACTCGCACCCTCCGTCGCCAACTCAATGAAAGGGGGTTATATGGTAGGAGTCCCAGGAGGACCCCACTGCTGAGAGGGAGACATAATAAAGCTGTTTGCCAAAACACACCTGAACATGCCAAAATCATTCTGAGAGAATGTCCTGTGGACAGATGAGACCAAATTACAGCTTTTTAGTAAAGCACACCATCTCTATGTTTACAGAGAACAAAATGAAACCTTCAAAGAAAATAACACCTTTCCCTACAGTCAAAACATGGAGGAGGTTCAGTGATGTTTTGGGGTTGCTTTGCTGCACTGGGTGCCTTGAACATGCGCATGGCATCATGAAATCAGGAGAACACCAAGGCATTTTGGAGTGCAATGTCGGACCAAGTGTCAGAAAGCTGGTTCTCTGTCCAAGGTCATCGGTCTTCCAGCAGGACAATGACCCCAAACACACTTCAGAAAGCACCCGGAATTGTTCAAGACAAAATGCTGGACTGTTCTGAAGTGGCCAGCAATGAGTCCAGATCTTTATTTTTATTTTACCTTTATTTAACTAGGCAAGTAAGTTAAGAACAAATTCTTATTTACAATGATGGCCTACACCGGCCAAACCCGGACGACGCGGGGCCAATTGAAATCCCATTGAAAACTTGTGGAGAGATCTGAAAACAGCAGTTGGGAGAAGGCACCATTCACATCTGGGAGAACTGTAGCATTGCACAAGAGGACTGGGCCAAACTGCCAGTACAGAGGCACTTGATTGCAGTTATTTTGACCAAAGGCTGTGCTACCAAATATTAAGTCTAGGGTGTCAATAATTTTGTCAATGCCATTTGTTTATTTTCTGATTTAAATTATTATTAAGTTCTGAATCAAAAACAAAGGTTCTGTAATATTAACAGTGAAATAAATAATTGTGGAGACCAAATACTTTGGTCAATTTCAACTTATTTTTAGGGAAAATTGTGAGTTACATGAAAAAAGTGCAAGGGTGCCAATATTTTTGGCCATGACTGTAACTGGGCAGTAGTTCAGGTGTGATAAAACAATGGCCTGTAGGACTTGTTTTGTTGATTGTGATGTCAAAACAGCAGAGCAGCACTTTATCATGGACAGACCTCTCCCCGTCTTAGCCACCATTGCATCAATATGTTTTGACCATTT